TCAAAACTTTTAAGGTACTTCCTTTTGACCTAGAATTGTAAAATTTGTCAAGAAGCAATGACGTACAACAGTAATAAAAAAAATCTGAGATTCGTAAATTTGTAATTACTTCCACATTAAATTATTATAATAAATTGTACGGAACCCTCAGTGCTGCAGTTCGACTATCTGGTTTTTTAAACATATACCTACTTGTGGAGAATATCCAAATTAATATATACAAAGATACACATAAATACAAGGTTTTTGTTTTTTTTTCAATTTTAAATTATGGAAGCTTTTTTAATATGCACAAGCAAAAGATTTTTTTTTTAATAAAATCTTTGCTTAATGAGATAATTGTATACATATATATAGCCTTTTCTAAACAAGTGGCAAATTAACTTGTCGATATATAAATGGTTACCACTTTACCGCATGAAATTAAAACAAGACAGCAATAATGAAATCTTTTTTTTTTTTTTTGCATACGCTAAGGAAAAATATCTACCAATACATTTGTTTAGCGTTTGTCTAGACATTGTATTTACAAGTATATTGTTACCATACATTTTTGTTTTGCCTATATAGGAAGAATTCCTCACGGGCGGCAAGTTCGATGAGGATTTATTCGCGTCAGCCAAAAGTACAGCGTTGTTCGAAGTAGTGGAGAATGAGAAGTGTCCCGCTGATGTCGTCCGGGAATCGTTACGCAACTTTGTGGGACACGCCACCGATACATACAACAGGTAATACAATAACTCTGTTCAGTTTTTATGCATGCCTATTGTACCTATGCCTCTATTCGTTTGATTCAACTATCTTCATTATATATAGTAATTATTAAAAAAAATGTTCAAAAATCCTTAATGGATTAGTCAGAGGTATTTGTCAACTTTTACCGTTGTTGTGAACGTAACACACGCCCATATTGTTTATTACCTAACGTGATAGAGACACTAGAGTTAATTTAGTCTGTTGTTGTTAAAGCAACAGTGACTATGTAGATGTGCTATAACCCATCTGTACGGAAAACTGAATAAAACCCAATACCGAATTAGGAGTTAGCCAATACTAGGTTAATATTCTTCCCTTTGATGGAGATACATCTGCGCCAAATAATAGATTGTCAATGGAATGCTGTAATGAGTGAAAAATGAAATGTTGACACTGCCTATCGATATACGTCCGTTTGCACTAAATAGGATAAGCAAGGATAAAATTATTTGGCCCATTAAGAGGACTTCAACAAGAATTAACCTCGATGGTATATTGCTAGTGATATAGGTTTTTTTATGCAACTTAAAATGACAAACAAGCTGACGGCCCATTTGATGGAACGTGGTAACCGTCGCCTATAGACGTGAGCAGTACCATGGATATAACAGAGTATACTGTTTCGCCCATGATACCCCCCCATGCGTTGCCATTCCTGAGGACCGAGGTGTTATTTCTCTGTACCCTGTAAATTCACTGCCATATCCCATCCATCAAACCTTTTGACATAGGTAATTGCTAATAATCCTTTTTCCCAATTAATGGATTGTTTTTTGTAATCTGTTTTGTCATATAGAGATCTGATATGCGCGATTGCGGCGGTAACCCCTGCTGAGGCACAAGCGGCGGCAGCGAGGTGGCTACCGACCTTATTCGATCCCGAATTAGGCAAGCTCGCCATCGTGTGCCACCCCACCAAGGTCAATGATATGCAGGCCGCCTTCGATAAGTAAGATTACCTATATTCTAGTTCAGGGGACTTATATTGGGATAATTGGGTAAAACGTATATTACGGTAATTCTACATAAATCACGCATGTATAAAAGGGTTGACTTGTTTTTGGTGAAACATTTGATAGTAACATGTATATAATCTAAATATTAATTATATGTTTCGACTATTTTTTTATACCACTAAGATGGCAGACAAGCATACGGCCTACCTGATGGTAGGCGGTTACCATAGCCTATGACCGCCTGCAATACCAGGGTTACTACATGCGCGTTGCCGATTCTGAAGAAACCTTTTCACCCCTCCTTTTAAAGAACTCTTTTTTATTTTATAATTAAAATATAGAGGAAATTGTGCAAGAATAAGATCGCAAAATACTGTATTGGCGATAACCACGTAGAAATAGAAACCAACACAGTATACCTCCATGCAAACTATCATGGTTAATTCCTGATAAATTCATCATGATAGGCTAACTGGCTTGTTTTCATTCTCATCTATCGCCCACAAAACTAAATTTCATATTATATTGACCACTACTAGGATGATTTTTTTTTGATGGATGAAAATGATATGGTAACCCCGCCTGCGCTAACGGGATACGCTGGCGGAGCACCAGTGAAGGGTGATAGATGAGAATGAAAACAGGCCAGGTTAGCCCATCTTGATGAATTTATCAGGAATTAACCATGATAGTTTCCAGGGAGAACCGCGAGGAGGTAGACCTGGTTGGGTATATTGCTAGCAATGGGATTCTCAGTCTCCATTACTAACAATCCCTTTCCCCCCTGCTAGGATGATTTGTACGACTGTACAATGGTGAAGTAACACTGTGTTGAGACTGGGGCATTCATATGAATTGGTTGTGTTGCAAATTTTTAAGGAGGCTTTTTCCACATGAACTTTTATAATGTGTACATTAAACATTTTCGTGCGATCATTTCCTCAATGCTGTAGAATCTGTAAATAAAATAATTAAAGAATGTGTTATTTTGATTTAAAAATTAAATTACTCATCCAATTTTGATAAATTTTCTATGGGACCAATTTATAAGTACTTCCTTTCAAAAAAAAAATCTAAATCGGTTTAGAACTGATGGAGTTATGTATATGAGGTATAACTATAATAAACATAAAAAAGTGCAAATAAATTTAGAACCTCTTTCTTTTGAAGTCGGTTAAAAAGTACGAAATCAATCGGTGAAAATTCTCTATACATTCTAATACTGTTTTTTTTTACAGGATCAACGTCAAATTGGATGCATTTGAATCAATGGAGCTATCCCATTTTAATAAATAAATCATTTATCTCAATACTGTATCAATACACAAAGGTTTAAAATCATTTTATATTTTGTATCATGTATAATCGAATATTATAAGTACAATAAAACATGAAATAAATACTTATTTGCTTGGCTGTGCCTTACTTTTATGCATATATCATAGTTTTAATAACTATCTCACGTTTAAATATGTTTGCCTATTAAAAATAATTTTGTCATAATTTGTTTTTTTTTTTTTTATTTTCTATACTACTAACTAGAATAGCAAAGAAGCTGATCACCAAAGTAACGATACATTGTAATCGTCACCTATACCTAGTACATGTTCTCTATGTCTATGGATTCCGTGTAACATAATTATTTTTTATACACGATAAAATAACACAAAAAAAGCATTAGAAACTGATTCTATATTAAAAAAAACTAGATATATTTATTATTTTACCGCAGGTTCGAACGCGTGGATTTTTGAGGTAAGTAACCACTTATATATATCGTATACATAGTATATAACTCATGTGCACATTTATTTCTGGTTTATCAGAACCGGTCAACTGTAGTGATGTTCACTTTTTTTATTTAAATTATCGATAAGTTGATTAGTATTTTTAATAATAAATAATTTGAGTTGAAATGACATATGCATTTTTCTTAATGAGTACACTGATAACGACAAAATATAACCCGCTTCCCCCTCACTTAAATAGGGTTAACATAAATTTATACTTATTCAATTAATTACATTGTCATAATGATATATTAATAATGAAAAACGCTGCTTTTGCTTTTGTAATCATATTACAAAAGCAAATTATTTTTAAGTGACAAAATAGTGTAGGGCGAGCCTCCTGCCAGCAGGAGTGACGATGACACATACAATATAACAATTTATATACGACATTTTAAATTTGAATAATGTGTACCTACCTACTAATTACATGTAATACCCTCCATAAGTTTTACAACAATCATCTCTTTATTATTTTTGAATTCGACATCACCAAATTAATATAATTGCCGTCTTGTCCGGCATAGAATGGGTCAACCCTTCCTGCCCCGTGACGTGGGTGTCGTAAGTGGCGATTAGAAGAATTTAATAGTCGACTATGGGCAACAGCATCCTTCATAATACATCACCAACGTTCTAGTATAGTATTATATTATCTACGACCGAAGCCTTGCGGTTGGTTGGAACTTGCGATTGCCAACCTGCCTACCAAATGTGGCAACTACAGTGTGTTCAACGGTAGACAGTTGACGACTAATATGATCGTGATTATTAATTATTCTTGAATAATAATGTGGCTTCTTGTCCTGTTACGTTTAAATTTAAGTATATTAGCTTACAATAATTAAAACCCTTAGACAAATTTAAAAAATACGCAAGATTACTGGGGCATATCTGTCAATAAAAAAGACCATAGCAACTTATACAGCTTAGTACACCACCTACTTAAGTAAAGTCGTTTTGACCTAAGGTAAAGAATGATAACGACAGGTTATTTATTATTTTTGATCCAGTATTCCCAGACAATAAATAGATAGGTACATACATCGATACATACTAAACAGGAAAAATAAATACCACACGGACAAAGTTGCGGGCATCGACTAGTATATAATATAATCAATACTTCTATTCTACAGACATGGATGGACTTTGTGAAAGACGATATGGCAAAAAAAATGAGTGAATAATAATATGGGAATGAACTGTAGAGAAGAGTGGAAGAAAAAAACATATTATACTGACCCCAAATAATTATTGGGATAAGGTGCATGATAAAGCAAAATGATGAACAGTTCTATACTAGGTATATAACTAACCATTTACCATCAGGTGGGCCGTATACTTGTTTGCCACCTCAGTGGTATAAATATGTTTGATTGTTTAAAAATTCTTTCACCTATATAAAACTACATTAATAGCGAGTAATATAGGCTATATATTATTTACCATCTACTCGTGCGATTCTCGGCGGGTCGGAAGTTAATTATAAAAATTGCAACACAAAAGACGATTATGTTTATAACCGATTACGCGCATCACTACCGGCTGTCAAGTAGCTAATTTTATTTCTTAGTTTTTGTTTGTTTATTTCTATTATTAGAATTATACCGTAGAATTGTACAGATACTTCTTTGAGGCAATGTCTCATTTCAAATTAATAACATCAACAAAGGCTACAGATGTTATTCCCGTAAACAAATATGTATCTGAAAAAACTGGTCTAACCATAATCATTGCCGAGGTGGAGGGTCCTCTTGTGAATGTCTTTTTCTGTCTTGGTAAGTTTATTATTATATACCTTAATTTATTACAAGTATGAAATTAATCTCTGAATATGCCAATTAAAAAAAATTAATAATTTTAATATTATCAAGACTACAGAATAAAAATAATATAATAATAATAATGATTAGTTTTCCCTCTCCCTTCCCTAAGAGTGTAAATGTGAATTTTGTAAATAATAATAATACAATTTTCCTTATCCCTATAATTTTAGTTTGATAATACACCAGAATTATTGATGGAACAAGTGTAAATTTATTATAAAATTCATTTAAGTGTCTTTAATCTCCATTAAAACAATCTCACAAAAATATCAAATTTGTTACAGTCTAGTTGATCAACTACACATCTTTAAATCAATATAAATTATTTATTAACAACAATGAAATAAAAATATTAATTTAAAAATAAATTATGTCTATAGGCGTCGGGTACCACTTTCCTTCAGCTTATTTGCCATTCTAAGTTATATAAAAAAAAATATTACATTATTGTACTATTATTAAAGTTGGTTTTTTAATAGTTCTATAATTATTTATTACTAAATTGAGTAATATTTGTGTCTGATATTTAGCAACGGAGGCACATGATGATGATGGATTGCCACATACATTGGAACATCTCATTTTTCTTGGGTCTAAGCGATACCCCTATAAAGGAGTATTGAACCTGCTGGCCAACCGATGCATGGCACATGGGATTAATGCATGGACAGAAACTGACCACACTTGTTACACTATATACACTGTTGGTGATGAGGGTATGTTGACACTGTTACCGATATACTTAGACCACATATTGAGGCCTACACTCACTGATCAGGGGTTCATCACTGAAGTTCATCACATTGATGGTGATGGGGAAGATGGTGGAGTTGTGTACTGTGAAATGCAGGACAAGGAAAATACAGTAAATCAGAGGTATATTTTATAATTCTCATTTTTTATCATTTTGATAATAAAAGTCATTAGTATTATGTACTTTGTTTATATAGTTAGATGATGCACAGTTGTTTTAATCATCAATATTAGTTACAAATGGGCTTCAATTGTTTTCTTAAAAAATCTTTTTTCCTATTTTCTATGTATAAAAATGAAAACATACTTCTCTATTGTTTCCTGTGTCTAATTTTAGGATTAGATTATTTCCCTACCTATTCATTATTGAGCTTTATTCCTTTAATTATCTTTTATCATATCTTTAAGAAAATGGTGACACATTATTTATTCTTTATTGACCATATTTTACAAAAATATATGGCATTAGTGACTCACACTGGCTTCTCTCCAGTTTATTTTTTAATAGAATACAGAAAGCTATATTAACTTTCTATAGGTGAAACAATTTTTAAAGTTGGTTAAATATTATTTTAAGTTTATTCATTACAAATATAAAAATCAAATCTTTCCTCTTTATAATATTAGTTTATATAAAGATACAGAAGTATTAAAAAAAATATTTTTCAGTAGTTTCTAATTAAATTTAGCTTATGACCCCTTTTTAGAATAATCCAGTTTTGTTTATTTTTTATTATCCTTTATATAGATGTGAACTACGATTACAGCAAGCTATGTATCCAAATAGTGGATACTCATATGAAACTGGAGGCATTGTGGCCAACTTGAGGACCTCTACTGATAATGGTAAAGTATGTTGACAATGTTTTACTATTCTTTTATTTTATATTTTGATCTTTTTTATATATTTATGTCTCTTAGAATTAGAATTAAATATAAACTTTTTATTGGTGTCATACAATCTGCATGCCAAGCAACGCAAGCTGAACACCATATCATTCTTTTCTCCACATTTTTGTGTTTTTATTGCCTGTAGCTTCATATTTAATATATTGTCTTCCTTTATTGTTCGTAGTAAGTAATTAGTACGTATCATTTTATAGGTAAGAGATTTCCACAAAAAGTTTTATCGTGCTGAAAATCTGACAATCATACTAACAGGAAAAATTGCAGCAGATGACGTGTTTAACGCATTAACTACAGTCGAGGATGATATCATAAACCAGGTATGTTTTATTCAATATTTTTTCCTGTTTTCCTTTTATTATTGGCACTATGTATGCCCTATTAACAGATGAATGTTAATTTTTACTTCGAAAGCTGTTATTGTTTCTAAAACAACAAAAAAAATGTCGACTCTCATTTTTTATCTACGATCACACTTCGTCATATATGCCCAAACCTTATTATTTATTTTTGGCCTTACCAAAGTATAGTAATAGCAGATATGGCTAAATATTCTGCCCTTATATATGCAAGTGTCCATAAGTCAACTTATTCCATTGTACTGATGAAAAGTTTCACAGGTCGACAATGAAATTCTTACATAAAATCAAATTAATATTAATAATTAATTTTATTTCAGATATAAACTGATGTCATATTTTAAATTTGATGCCACAATACAAAGTCAATAACTTGCAATAAATTTTACTATATTTTCGTAACAGAGAAAGGAAGAACCACTGGAAGAGTGGGTGAAGCCATGGCAGACAATCCCACCTCTGCCTAAGTTTGAGGAGTACAAGGAGCAGTGGCCAGCTGACACCGAAGACTGTGGACAGGTTTTTAATTTTTTAAAGATAATTTATTATCTTTTTAAATTGATATAGTCATATGGGGCTCAAAGTGCAAAAATATATTTTTTATGTGATAATATTTTGTAAACTATTACTGGTCATGTACATCGTGCCTATATATCCACATTGAATTCTAATATGTCTTGCGAAATATTTGCATATATGCGAGCCTTGTATTGACTGGCAGTGGTAACAGTGGATGCATAAGACACGTGGTGCGGCGTGCCGCAGGTGGTGTTCGGGTGGCGCGGGCCGGTGCTGGCGGCGCCGCAGTCGCAGCGCGAGCTGACGGGCTGCGCGCTGCTGCTGCGCTACCTGTGCGACACGGCCGCCGCGCCGCTGCAGCGCCGCCTCGTCGAGCGGGAGCACGCGCTCGCCGGAGACGTACGATTCTATAATATTCTCATTTGTGATATTCTATTGCTGCAGCGCTCACTGATTAAGGAACAATGAAACCGATTGCCTATTAGATGTGCTCGTGACTCACTGTGCGATAGTTGGCATTGATTAAACAAATAACACTAGACTATTAGATGATACTGTATGTATATTATTATTATTTATAAAAAATATATATATACAGATATGTATTTACAAAGAAAAACACCCAGATCAATACAAACATACTCATCGGGGGGAAGGGATTGTTAGTGATGAGACTGAGAATCCCATTGCTAGAATACAAACATGGAAACTATCATGGTACTTCCTGATGCTAACTGGCCTGTTTTCATTCTATATTCACTGGTGCTCCGTCAGCGTAATCCGTTAGCGCAGGCGGGGTTACCATTCCATTTTCACTCATCAAAAAAAAAAAACATACTCATGCAAAGATAAGTCATATCTTACTCCAACCACTTTCATAAAGCATATTACGCATACGTTACTACCTAGAGGATCAGCGATCACCAATACGATTTTCATCAACATTGTTCAACTGGTGATCATCTAGTATACCTCACACACCGCTAGCGTTGGCGGTTGGTCTAGATATTGCAACGGCTATCGATCGGATCTGGTATAATAGTCTTCTGTCGAAATTGCCTTTATACGGACTCACAGCCTCCCAAACTCACGCCAGCTTTCTGTCCGGCAGATACATTAAAAACGTGATTGATGATAGTAGCTCCGACATTAATGCCGACGTTCCACAAGACTGCGTTGTCCCCAATGTTGTTTTTACTGCACATTAATGATTTGCTGGCTACAGTTGACATTCATTGTTATGCGGGTGACAAAACTGGGGATGTAAACTACAAGAGCCGTGCAAATAACCTTCGCTATGGAGACTAACTGCGAACAACTTATGTCTGAAATCAAAAGTAATCTTGTTGGAATCTCCAATTGCAACTAAACTTAGTCTAGTTTAACCCAAAAGACAAATGTTCACCGCTAAAAAAATACCCATTTACTGTAGCTCCGCAATTTGAGAACACATCCATTATCATCTCACTGTAGTTCTAAAGTCATCTAGAAGATAGGGTCATGCTGGCGTCCAAAAAGCTCGGGGTGCTCAATAGAACGAAATGGTATTTCACCCCGAGACAAAGACTATTCTTGTACAAGTCGCAAGTCTGGCCCTCATGAAGTACTGCTCTTATATCGTCATAGTCGTAGAATAGTGACAGATCTTTATATGTAATCTTCGTCAGATCCGTCAGTATTCTACGACTATGACGATATGTGGGCCAGAGCACCTGGATACCAGCTTGGTCCTCTTGACTCAGTTCAAAGATGGTCTATGAAAATTGCTGACGATCACGACGAAATTGTGAGTTTGGTTCACAAGCGGTATCGAGTCCTAAAGTCTAAGGTGATACTTTGCCTGCCCTTGTGTTTTATCGCTTGTATAATGGATTGTATTCTGAGTAATTGTTTGAAATGATACCTACAGTCAACTTTTATCATCGCACCGCAATTCATCCTCAGACACTTGAATCTAAATGGCCACGAACAGTACGGTGTCAAAGAAATTTTCTCCCACGAACCTTCAGGCTGTGGAATGAGCTCCCTGCCAAGAGAGTCTGCTCTTTCTCAAGAGATTACAGTGTCGGGTTTTTCAAAAAGGATATATTAAGGTTTCTTCAGGGTTGACAACGCGTACGTGACACCCCTAGTTTTGCAGGCGTCCATAGGCTAAGTGTTCGTTTAACATGAAATGGGCTTTATGCTTGTTTGCCACCTTAATGGCATAAAAAAATTACTGGTTAGTCGATTAGAATTATTTTGTTTAATTTTGCTGCCATTAGTATGCGAGCAAACGGATTGACTAATATTATTAATAGAAATTCTACTACCTTCCATATTAGTCATTGTTCGCGCGGCGAACCAATATTAGATTTCTAATGAACGAACTGTTTGTTTCAGAATACTAAAAATAAAAAAATCAGAATCTTGATTTTTCATCCAATAGACGATAATATATTTAATTATCCCGGTCCTGACATAGAATCGACCACCCATTCTTTTTCGTGTCATAAGAGGCGATTAAGGGAACTAAATGATCGTGGGATGGGCAGCAGCGTTACTAAAGCCTAATTGCGGTGGCCAACCCGCCTGCCAAGCTTGGCAACTACTGGCAAAATCCTCCAATATAGGAAGACCTATGTTCAGCAGTGGCTAGTTAACGTTAGATATGATGAAGATGTGTTATCATCTTTTTACTCCATCTGTTCATCTGATATTATATGTTTAAAAATATGACAATTTAATATACTTATATACGCAGGTCTCGTACGATCTAACCGAAAACATAGCGTCCCTGATCAAGATCGAGCTGGACAATGTGCCCATCGATAAGCTGGAAGTGGCTCGCGACGAGGCGCGCAGCTGCTTGCGGAGCGTGTGCGACGGCAGCGAGCCGCTGGACATGCAGCGGCTCCGGCGGCTCGTCCGGAAGCAGCTGCGGGAGGCGCTCGCCAGCCTCGAGTCTGACCCGCACTACGCTGTTGCGTCCAGGTGTATTGGAGTCGCTCTGTATTCGCAGAATGAACAGGATGTGAGTAATATATAACAATTTAGTATTATTCACTGACTGCATGATGGTTTTATGAAATTGGCAATGACTAAGCTGATGACCCTCCTGTTTTTTTTAATGAGTGAAAACGGCATGGTAACCCTGCCTACTCTATCGGTATATACTGGCGTGGTACAAGTGAGAGGTAATAGATGAGGATGAAAAGGTAGGTCATTATCAGTGACGCATTTAACGATAAATTAGTCACGATAGTTTCCAAGAGGAACCGCGTGGAGGTCGACCTGATAGGGTATATTGATAGAAAAGGGGACTAACTTCCCCATTACTAACAAACCTTCCCCCCTAATAGGCACAGTCAAACAGGAGGGCTGTTCAAGTATGCCTATAGACATGAAGGGCACCTTGAATATCAAAGAATACATTTTGATGCCCATGGCAACCCTTACACGCTAGCGGAAAAGCGATTGTTAGTAATTTGGAATACTAGCCCTATTGCTAGCAAATAATATACCCTATCAGGTCGACCTCACCATGCCCTCCATGAAAAACAATTGTGCTGAATTCCAGGAGCACTCATCACAATAGGCTAACTGATCTGCCTTTTCATTCTCACCTATTAACCCTCACTGGTGCACTGCCAGCGTATAGCGTTAGTGCAGACGGGATTACCGTTCTATTATCATCCATTAAAAAAACCTTTAAACCCTTATACGCTTATACCTATAAATAAATTGTAGTATATGAATAAAATAAGCAAAGCAAAATCATACTATAAAGTAATAGTATATTACTGCAACGGCCAGCAACTGAGGCATTGATGGACGAACGTGCAAATGTAGGCCGACATTAGGCAACATATGAGTCCATCAATATAATTAAAGTACTTTTCTCAAACAATGCGCGGAAATCAAAAACACAATTTTACTTTTTAAGTTTAATGACGAATAACGAACTAATAATTTTTCACGCGCCATAATGTTCCCTTGTTTTTTTTTTCGATAAACAGCTTTCTATTTGCAAGCCAGTTCGAATTTTAAATAAAACCTTTTATTAGTTACCTCCTTGGTAGCCATATTTCGAAGTAAAAGGTCATTCCATTTTTAAAATACAGGACAGATATGAGCTTACATAGTAATTTATCTGGCCGCAAAACACGACAGATATGGATTTTCATACAACTTTTGCCGGCCGCTGCCCGCATGTATCTGTCCAGTACGGCAATTTTGATTTATCTCTAAGAAGATTGTCAAAATAATGTTCACATTTCCAAGCATGTTTGAGAAAAAAATTAAATAGAAATAAGTCTAATATCCACCTGCCCCCCTATGTACGATGCGTAAGCAACGCGCAATAGCTTCCAAACTTAACGAAACTGATGTCACTTTAAAAAAAAACCTCATACGCTTTGTAATAACGTTGTAATTTTTAATTACAACCATCATCAAATATATAAAAGATATATTTAAAACACGAGAGTCCCATATATAACGTAAAAGTGCAATAAGAATGTATTCTTTGGAATCAACTTCCAGCAGCAGTATTTCTGAACCGATACGGCAACATAACCTTCAAGAAAAGAGCATATTCCTTTCTAAAAGGCCGGCAGCACACCTGCAATGCCGCTGGTGTTGTGGGTGATCATGGGCGGCGGTAGTCACTTACCATCAGGTGAGCCGCATGCTCGTTTGCACCCTGTGTTGTAAAAAAAAATTCCGAAAAACCCCCGGCAACGGACGTTAACGAACTCCTACAGGATACTTTTGTATACAGAGTGAAATTATAACTATTAGTGTTCAGTAATAATAATAAAAAAAAAACAATTACCTATTTTTTAAAGAAATATAGGACAAAATATTAAGTTTCATTAGTAAAACTCTCTGATAAAGATCCTAATTATTTCGATTTCACCCTGTATATAGAAAAGATGTCTAAATGTTCTAAAGCCATCTTGCAGTTCTATGCACGAATGAATCCTCAAAAAGTACTGGCAGAACTTTTGGAGGAGAATAGCGACTACTGGCTTGCTTTACTGCAGAAATATTTCACCGATGACGTCATCACGATTATCAGTTCGCCCAGTGTTGAGCTACAAGTCAAGTAAGATTACATACTGTAGAGAGTGAAATCGAAATCATTAGCGTTATATTTTAACTGTAAGGAAAACCAAATTGGCACATGTTTTTCTTAAGGGGTTATATACAGTTAATGGGTCGAAAAAAAGCGAATTTTTAGGAATTTTTTTTGAGAAGCCGTTAAAATTTATTGATTCCAAAAGTTTACATACTTATTATGGTATTATTCAACAACATTTTAGTGCTTATTATTAGTAAAAATATTTCTCTGGAGAAGAGCTACAGCCGATCTCCAGGAGGTCCTCTAAAAAAAGACGTCTTGCGGTGACCACTCTATCTCTGAACTGGATCATCTGAAATTAAAAAAATAAAAAGATTTAGTTAAAGTAATGTTAAATTCAATTATTAATCGATGGAATAAGCAAAAAAAAATGTGTTTTTTTGTCAAAATGGCGCCTTCTCAAAAAAAAAAAAAAGTCGATTTTTCACCAAAATTTCAACTTTAAATTGTTTATAAAAAATCGAAGTTTTTATTGGAAAAATAAAAGCTTCGATTAATAACTGAAAAATATATTTAAGAAGCTTGTATCAAAATTTTAGACGAATCGGAGAAACCGTTTTCGAGTTACAGTGGTCACCGACTTTGAAAACACCATTTCGAGAAAAACGCGTTTAAAGTTTTGAGTGCACTTTACATGGGATAAAAATTTTTTTTTTTCAACTTACATGGTGTCATCTATTCCAGGCCCATATAAGAGACCTTTTTGATTCATTATTCCAATAACTCGAGCTGATGTTGTCTGCGAGCCATTCTTCCATCTCGGGTGCTATCGCGCGCTCTGCGGTCGGAGATGTTCACGCGCTGCTCATCTTCTTTTTCGGCATATAAATGTGCGTTGGGTCCAAGTGTGTAATTCCTATTGCATTCATATAATATAATAATAGCCATTCCTTCATTAAAGACGCCAGCAGCTATGTATGCAGCGGTTTCTACAGTTTTCGAGCCTGCCGGAACAATTTTGGGAGAGATTTTCCAAATCAGTTGATTATAACTCTCGTTGTTGTTTTGGTTAAAACCACCGACACATCTTTCCAATAAACTTTTATTGCTGAGGTCTATAATTGTTTGTTGGGCGGTGATCGGACGTATAGCTTCAGCAACATCATCAGGTAGTGGCTCATAATCATGTTCGAAAGTAGATACTTCATTGGCAGCAGCAATGAATCTGCCAGCTGCACCATGAGTCTGGTTCTCGGACAGTTGTCGTGCTGAGGTTTTTGGTCAGATGAACAATAGTGATAATATGTGGCCCAGATAGCATTATACATTTTCTCAATGGAATCACAATTTCTACGTATTGCTAAGCCATAGTAAACTGTTAACTTATCGATCATCTTTCCAGTGAGTTTTCCTTTTCCACCGAGAGTTTTCTTTTGTATTTTTTTTCCTTTCGCATTCTCAACAGTCTCAACATTTTTTTTACACAATCTCGAAGTCTCGTACCCATTCGTTTCTGTACATGTCCAATACATTCTTTCTTTACAACTTCCTCATCACCATAAGGTTTAACTTTTAAAATTCCCGAGTACGTTTTGGAATTACCGTCTCCGATATAATTTTTATAGATGACTCCGAGTTTTTCCAATGAACGTTTGAACATTTCAACGACTGAATCAACTTCCATTTTTGAGGAACCAGCATGATTTGCAGTGCAAGTATTTTTATGTTCTTCGTACCATTCATTATACTCTTCTGTATCAAGTTTCTTCTTCCAGGTTTCACACAGTTTACAGTAGGCACTTTTAACAACTATATCTATTATTTTACCTGAATAATATCCAATCAAAGAGGTCACACCGTACAAGGAAGTATACCCTCGCTTTTTCCATGTGCCATCACCAGATACAGTTAATTCTGTTGAATGTTCGTTACCTTGATTATCGGAAGTCAAATTTTCTCTTCGGTACAAGCCTGTGCAAAAAGTTTTTCAGTGGCTATTTTTACACTGGAGTGAATGTTATTTATTATCAAATCATAAGTTGGCTGTGATATAAAAGCTCGCATGTCCATTAATCCACAAAATTTTGCTGAACCTTTCAATCCTAATCCGAGAACTCTCATTAATGACAAATAAAAATCGTCGATTTATTTCATAAGAATGCGTGACGAACGGACTAGAATTTACGCTACGGTCGGCACACTTATCACACAGCACAACTATTTGAAAACCAAGTCCTCGTTCAGAAGTTGTTTGAAACTTGACATCTCCGTCACAGACTTTACACTTTACATATTCAGCAATTGCTGCAAAAACAGTAATGAAGTTTAGTATGCGATACTCAACAGACGGATCACGTGTGACGGAGATTTCCTCTTGCTCTTTAAATTTTTTCGCCGAGGCACTGAAACTCCTTTCATCTGTTTCAGCTGTTTTTGGGTTGAAAACATTTTTACGTTTTTTTACTCTCGACTTACGTACATTATGAGATTTTCTCATTATTCGGGAAGACTTCATTTTCACTGGAAATTACACACAAAAAAATAAACGATCTCACAAGTTTACAGCTTGGCTTGGCTCCGTATACTGACTACCACTCTTAAATATGTTCCACTTTAGGGTCGAAAAAATATAAACTCACTTTTCAGGTATAAAATAAAATAATCACACTGTTGATTTACACATCTAAACACTTTAGAAGGGGAATGCTTACAATAGACAGATGCATGAAAGGGACAGCGCTCAGGTAGTCGATGCCGCTATGGCCTTATACTCCCAAGCGCTCCGAGACGTCGTTACAAATATGCGTGTAACTTCGAAAATATTTGCCGGATCGATTTGAAATTTCTTGTGTGTATTCTTGAATATATGTAGAATCAGAAAAAAAAATAAAAAAAAAATCGATTTTTTGAAAAAATTAACTGTATATAACCCCTTAAAGCATTAGCATTCTTACAAGAGAGTGCTCTACTAATGAATTTGTACAAACATTACAAAGAAATGTTGTTAGAATATACTTTCCATATTAACATGGCTTGTTGAAATGTCAAATTTGTTTTTTTTTTTTTTATTATATTATTCCATGCGTGGTGTCAACATGGCAAACTAAAAATTATTATTGTTTTCAAACTATATTTCTTTGGAGAAAATGTTCAATTTAACTGCTAGAATACTTCTTAGGAACGATGCTATTAATTTCAATTTCACCCTGTATGATGATTTTAGGGTTCTTTAATTTTTAGCATTCAATTTAATTCGATGATATTTGTAACGCAGTTTTAGGCACTTAGTCTTAGAATTTATGTACGAATGAGTATACTTTATTTGCATTACACAATATAGGGAATCAGGGTCGGACTGGGCTAAAAGGGCCCGGATGGCTGACCACAAGCCCGGGGCCCGAGACTAGATGATAGTAGTTGCACCAGTTGGTAGCGGCACCACAAGCCCCGCAAGCCAGGGCTATGAGGGGTTACGCACGCAGTTTGGGGCCCGGATGGCAAATGCCATCTCGACTATATGGCCAGTCCGACGCTATAGGAAATAAGCAAGACAATAAATGTAACGATACAGTTATATAATTTATCTTAATAAATAAAAGTATTATTTAAAATTTAGAATGGAAAAAGACGAGAAGAATAGAATAGAAGAACAAATAAGAGATCTCGGTGAAAGCGGCTTAGCAGAGAAAGCCAAGCTGTTGCAAGAAGCTATGGAATTCATCGAGGTAAGTACCTATTATTTGTTGAGGTGTTTTTTTATAGATTACATTTGTTGCGTTGTATTAATGAGAAAAGAAATATATTTGTATTTTATGTGTTCGTTGAATATTATCTATTTTGTTAATTCAAATAATAAATAACAATATCCTATCTAGGGAGACAATATTACTTAGAAATAGTCAGTGAGATCACTACTCATTTCTGCCCTATAGATTTATGACTCTAATACATACATAAAATTTATCTTTGATACTGTAATAATTATACACCATGTTTCTACCAAACATAACAATCGTAACATTTTTTTTCTCTGTCATGTAATTTGCTAAAAATTAGTATTAGAGCGAGAAAGATGTGTTTGCTGGGTACAAGCGTTAAAAGTGAGAAGCATGTAATATGTATGTAGTAGGACCTCAGTAATCACGATGAAAGTGGTTTATTCAGCGCAGTCCACCAGAAGACGCACTAGCGGCGGTGCCGGTGTCATCGTGGGACCGTCTCCACTACCAAGCGATCAGCGGCTGGCACTCCGGGAGAGACTTGTCCCCATTTCGCTCTCGAGGAAATGCCGCTTTACACTCGTGTGCACAGCCTCACCACCAACCTCGTATATGTTAGTGTACCATTTTTTAATTAGTAATGATAGCAATCAACAGAAAGACTCCCTTGATGACGAGCTAATGAACGCTTGCAAGACCACCTCAACATTCACAGTACACTCTGCGCAAATACAAAAGTCGTTTGTTTGGGTACCTCTGTCCCATTCGTGTTTCTACTGTGAAGCAGTTGTGTTTGCATGGCTTGCATTTCGGTTTGAAGAGTGGGATATGGCGTGAATTTACTGGGTACAGAGTAATAACACCTGAGTTCTCAGGAATGGCAAAGCATGGGGGGTACCATGGGCGAAACAGTACATTCTGTTATGTCAATGATACTGCTCATGTCTATAGGCGACGGTTACCACTATTCATCAGGTGGACCGTCAGCTTGTTTGCCATTCTAAGTAGGATAAGAAAAAAAAAACGGACCTTTTATAAATATAAAAAAAATATACATCCAATTTGTCACTTTTTGCCATAACCGTTCCTGAATTACAGTGATCGGTACTTTCACTGTCATATCTCATATTCTTAAAAATGGAACCAAACAGTTCTGCAAGCACAGCTGCTTGGTATGTAGACAGCTTTGATCAAAATTTCTTTTTGGTGAGTTATTTACTAGCTTTTTGCCTGTTATTTCGTACACGTGGAAATTCGAAGTAAAAAAACTAATAAAAAAAAACATTTCTAGGCGGATACTTTCGGATATACAACTGTGAAAATCGCAATTTGCTACAGTAATTTTTGCGTGCTGCTGAGAAAAATATACAGACAGACAAAATTTTTGTAAATTATTGTTTTGACTGCTATTTATTGGTCTTACAAAAATATATGAAGGGTCTTACACACTCATTAGCGTGTCAATAAAATGGTGGAACAGGCAAAATGTCTCTTTGATCAAAATTTTTTGTTGGTGAGTTATTTTACTAGCTTTTTGCCTGTTATTTCGTACACGTGGAAATTCGAAGTAAAAAAACTAATAAAAAAAAAACATTTTTGGTTCCAGTTTATGGCTGTGAGCAGAAGAAAAATCTAACACTTATTGTTTTAATTTTATTGGTCTTACAAAAAAAAGGGTCTTACACATTCATTATACAATTTAAGAACTTAACAAAATTTAACTTTTTAACTTCAAAACATACATGAATTATTAAGATTTGAACAAGGTATTTTAAGTAAGGTTTTTTAGGTAAGTAAAACCAAAAATAGACACATTAATTATATAAATATGTTCATAAGTATGCATATTTACTTAGTGGGATATTATATAAAAATGAAACTATAACATAGCTTTTTAGATAAAGTACCCGATCTGATGAATTTACCACGGGCTTAGATGGTATAGTTACCCCACTGAATGCATTTTCGACATTAAACATTCTAAAGAGCACCGCACACTTGACGAACTGTAGTCACGTTGATCATGTAAATCATTCTAAACCTGTTCAATATTCCAGATAAGTATAATCCTGGACACAACGTCGATGGAGCAGAGTACGCGCAAGTGGATCCCGCTGCAGCTGAACGGGCTGACGGAGTGCCCGGTGCGACGCGGCGACACGCTGGTGCCGCACGAGCAGGTCATATCCACCACCGAGCAGCTCACCGTCATGTTCAGCAATGACATTGGCTTCGGCAAGTCGGGCAACTTCACCGTCGGACAATACGGCAATTTTATACAGATCGAGACTAGGGTGAGTTTATTTTGTGATAAATATGTACGTAACGTTATCTACGTGACATGCCGCAAGCGGCGAAATGTTTTTTGTAAAAAAAAATCACAAATTTTTTATGCAACTTAGACTGGCAAACCGTCGCCTATAGACTTGAGCAGTACCATGGACATAACAGAGTATACTGTTTCGCCCATGATACCCCCCATGCGTTGCCATTCCTAAAAACGGTGTTATATCTCTGTACCCTGTAAATTCAGTCATATCCCACCCTTCAAACTGAATCACAGCCATTCAAACACAACTTCTTCACAGTAGAAACACTTGGTCTTACCTTAGTAAAACTTGCGTAAGACAGGTGTTAAATATATTTGTAAACGACTTACTGTAAAAGGGACATTTAATATCTGTTTATATCTAAGTCTATAAATTGTTTTTGTGGCAAGATCGAAAATATTTTTGTGCTAGTAAATTTAATAATGTATGCCGTGTGGTCCCGGCATAGAATAGGTCAGCTCTTCCTTTTCTGTGGCTGTCGTAAGAATCGACTAAGATAGGGCAAGTGATGAACAGCAGCGTCCATTTTAAAATATCTCCAAACCCTAACTGCGGCTGCCAATCCGCCTACCAAGCATAGCAACTACTAGTAAAACCCCCCAAGAGGGAGACTGAACCTAATCAGCAGTATACAATTAAACGCTGATATAATAATAATAATAAATTACTATGTAAATGAATTTTATTCTTATTTTTCTATAATCCTTTAATCGTTTTCAGTATTTTAAAATATTGTACGTACACTAGGCCTAATATATTGTTATTGTTACAGTGCGAGCCACAAGATTACGAGGAGGTGGTGAACCATCTCTATGAGATTCTATACAAAGCTAAAATTACAAAAGAGAGATTGTTAGTGTTTACACAGAGGATGATCAACGACGTCGCACAGGTAAATTTATATATCCTAACTGAAAATAACAAATTAGTAATTTTGAATCGTAAACACGTCGTAAAAATCCTATCTGGTTTGATTTGCTATCTCTAATAAAAAAAATACATTTAATGTGTATAAAATAAGTATAAATTACTAATAAATAAAATATAATAATTAAAAAATAAGTACTAACTGATAATTACAGAAAGTACTATTCATTCTTATAACCCAGATAGTGTTACCCATTATTTAACATAATTATAATTTTATAGGTATGTAAAAACGGATTTAAAATAGTATACGACATACTGCGAGATTCTGTATATTGCAAAGATAGTAATGTACACTGGTGCTCAGTTCTTCGCCTGCAGACGTTCTTAAAGGAGCTTGTAGAGCAGCTAAATGCTGGCGGAGACACAGCAGAGGCAGCTGTCAATGAAGCGAAGAAGGCATACGCAAGACTCACGGAAAACGCATGGCTACATCTCGCGGCTGATTTCGATAGATACAAGTTGAGCACAGAGCCGTGGAAGAGATTTGCCAGAACCAATGAAAGTGTACCATCTGAGTAAGTAGAATACTATTCTTTTACATTTAATTACATTTTTAAATAAACAAATTTTAAATTATAAATTAAGAGATTTGCTAGATACGAATGAGATCATTTAAAAGATAATTTTTGTCTGTTTTAAAAATCAGATTAGACCTACTTATTTCAAATGCAAATTAATTTACGGTAATATCAAAAGTCCTAGTAGTAAAAGTAATGTCCTAGTAGTGCGGGTGTTCTGTGTTAAATTCCTTAGTATTTTCTACTTTGTTTACTATATCAAAATTAGCCATTAAATATTTATGTATAACCTTATACAAATCTGGACATGACATAGCGTGATTGTGCGGGCAGGCCGCGGCTGTACTGGGACGCGGCGCTGCTGGCGGGCTGGGGCGGCGGGTGCGTGGTGGGCGTCGGCGGCGTGGAGTCGTCGTTCGCGGCGCGCCTGGCGCCGGGCCCGCGCGGCGCCGCGCTCGCCGACCACGCGCCGCTACTCGTCGCACTCGACTACTTCACGCAGCTCGAGGTACCGCACCCACCACACCACACGCACCACACGCACCACACGCACCACACGCGCCGCGCTCGCCGACCACGCGCCGCTACTCGTCGCACTCGACTACTTCACGCAGCTCGAGGTACCGCACCCACCACACCACACGCACCACACGCACCACACGCACCACACGCGCCGCGCTCGCCGACCACGCGCCGCTACTCGTCGCACTCGACTACTTCACGCAGCTCGAGGTACCGCACCCACCCCACCACACGCACCACACGCACCACACGCGCCGCGCTCGCCGACCACGCGCCGCTACTCGTCGCACTCGACTACTTCACGCAGCTCGAGGTACCGCACCCACCACACCACACGCACCACACGCACCACACGCACCACACGCGCCGCGCTCGCCGACCACGCGCCGCTACTCGTCGCACTCGACTACTTCACGCAGCTCGAGGTACCGCACCCACCACACCACACGCACCACACGCACCACACGCACCACACGCGCCGCGCTCGCCGACCACGCGCCGCTACTCGTCGCACTCGACTACTTCACGCAGCTCGAGGTACCGCACCCACCACACCACACGCACCACACGCACCACACGCACCACACGCGCCACACGCACCACACGCACCACACGCGCCGCGCTCGCCGACCACGCGCCGCTACTCGTCGCACTCGACTACTTCACGCAGCTCGAGGTACCGCACCCACCACACCACACGCACCACACGCACCACACGCACCACACGCGCCGCGCTCGCCGACCACGCGCCGCTACTCGTCGCACTCGACTACTTCACGCAGCTCGAGGTACCGCATCCACCACACCACACGCACCACACGCACCACACGCGCCGCGCTCGCCGACCACGCGCCGCTACTCGTCGCACTCGACTACTTCACGCAGCTCGAGGTACCGCACCCACCACACCACACGCACCACACGCACCACACGCACCACACGCGCCGCGCTCGCCGACCACGCGCCGCTACTCGTCGCACTCGACTACTTCACGCAGCTCGAGGTACCGCACCCACCACACCACACGCACCACACGCGCCATCACGCGCGCACACGCACCACACGCACCACACGCGCCGCGCTCGCCGACCACGCGCCGCACGCGTCGCACTCGACTACTTCACGCGCCGCTACCGTCCCACCGACACCACACGCACCACACGCACCCACGCGCCACACGCACCACACGCACCACACGCGCCGCGCTCGCCGACCACGCGCCGCTACTCGTCGCACTCGACTACTTCACGCAGCTCGAGGTACCGCACCCACCACACCACACGCACCACACGCACCACACGCGCCGCGCTCGCCGACCACGCGCCGCTACTCGTCGCACTCGACTACTTCACGCAGCTCGAGGTACCGCACCCACCACACCACACGCACTACATACGCCGGACGGGCCGCACATGTTAAACTAACTCGCAGGCACCACGCACGCGAGTTAGGTTAACATAACAAATTATCATCACGATAGGCTAACTGGCTTGCCTCTTCATTTTCACCTATCGCCCCTCATTAGTGCCCCGCCAGCGTATTCTGTTAGCGCAGGCGGGGATAACATTCCATTATCATCCATTAAAAAAAAAGTAATAATAGTATATATTATAGTATATAATATGTAATGTATAAATCCAAATGAGTACTTTTTTTAAATCATCTGAAATGTAATTGAAATCTAATTCGCATTACGGCAGGGTCCAATATATGAATTGATCTATGGCGGCGGGCTGTTGTACGGGTACAGTGTGAAGCCTTCGCCCAGCGAGGGCTGTCTCGTGTACTCGATGTACCGCGCCACCAACGCATTCCTCGCCTACATCAAAACTAAAGCGATATTCGTTAGTATTATTACCTCTAACCTTAATATTATTAATGAAATTTAAAACAACGTTTCTTAATACAACTAAATACGTCAACGCCATCTAGTCCCAAGCTAATATAAGCAGAACTTGGGTTCTAGACAACTGATTGACATAGTTAAATACTTTTTTTAAAATAATGAGTATGTATGGAAAACATCCAGATTAAGCGCCACAGTACCAGCTCCTGGGAGAAAGCGATTGTTAGTAATGGGGTTTGACAACCCCATTGCTAGCAATATATCTTATCAGGTCGACCTCCACGTGGAAGCTGGAAACCATTGTGGCTAATTCTTGTTGATTTCGTCACGATGATAGATAGATAGATCGTTTATTTGTTTGTTACTAATCACACACAACATGTTCATAAGAATAGATAATACATAAAACAACATAAGATTTATAAAATTGTGTTATTATGTGTGATCTGCAACAATACAAAAAGGTGTATACTCGATGGAACATTGTTCAGGCAAAAACTGATTTTCTTTCCATTATCGTGAAAATAATAATTAAAATAAATATAAAAAAAAAGAGCAATATTTTTGGTGATTGTCTGTGCAGTGTGTGTATAATAAAAATAATGTAAATAGTTCAGAGTATAATTTGATATAATTTTAATTGAGTGGTACTGTCCGACTCGACACACTGAAACTGCATAGAGATGTTGCATCTCTGTGCATCCTCTACAGAATTTATCATGGGTAGTACTATGAGGAATTGTTCGGATTGATATTTGCTGCTGATTTTCACCACCATACAACCCGCCATAAACTAAAGTTCCAACCCAACCATCTGGATGAGTGGCGGTCCTCCATCGTGCGTTTTACAAGGCACTTTTTTCCATGCACAACCACTCTTTGTAATCAATTTACAGCAGCAGTATTTTCGAACCAATACGACATCATGACCTTCAATAAAAGAGCATGTCCTTTTTAAAAGGCCGCCAGCTCAATTTTTAATTTTACTTTCATTTTGAGTTCGCTAGTAGAGCACTTTTTAAGTAATCAATCGAAAACATTGAAAAATGTTCAATTGTTTTTGAAAATTATCAGATATTTTTGAGCTTAATTCTCCAAGACTACACGAGCTACGTACACAGTATTGTTGTGGAATCACTTCTATCTTTATAGTGTTTATACTAATGGTATTGTAGTAAAGAACAGTGAGAAATAGTGTGCTTAGAACGTGGCTTGAAAGACGGTCATGTTGCGTTGATTAGGCCATTTGGAGAGGATGAATAAAAGAAGAAATAGGAAAGATATTTATCGATCACGAATAAAGAGTAGGGGCCAAATAGGCAACGTACTGAAAAATGTCACGTTAAAAACAAGTGCCAAATTAAAAGTACCTGTAACTAGCGTGTATAAATAGATTAATGAATATGGAGGAAGCGAAGAAAGTGTGTTTGAATCGGAATTTTTGGCGTTCCATTGTTTCTGCCTACCCCAGTGAGTGACAGACGTGAAAGATATATATAAGAATCTATTTATGTATGTGTGCTGATGAAACAAATCTACTAATAGATGGGTTTAGCGTTTATCTAGACTTTATGTAACGTTTAATTAACATTGGGGTCGATTCTGAGACGCTATTTGTCTAACTTACTTTTAATCTAATATTTTAATTTGATAGTTTCGTGAACTTATTATGTTATGGATCATTATAAACAAAATTTATTATTAAAGCCTATTAAAATTTTACTTCACATTAATTTTAAAGATTAGCATAAGGATTTTATTGCGATATCAAATTAAAATTTTAATTTAAAAGATAAATTTAAAGAAATAGCGCCTCAGAATCGAGCTCATCGTATTTACAAGAATATTTTTTATAACTTCATTATGTTATAGGAAGTATTCCTTGCGACCAGAGAATTTGACGCGGGTTTATTTGCGAAAGCCAAAAGCTCAGCGTTGTTCGAAGTAGTGGAGAATGAGAAGTGTACCGCTAATGTCGTCCGAGAATCTTTACGCAACTTCGTGGGACAAGCCACCGATACATACAACAGGTATAATAGATATTGGAATAACTTTTACTTGTATTTTAACAATCCTTTTTTCCTGTCAAAAGCTTTTATAGTAATGATAATCTGGTCTTATCATTACAGGGACCTAATATGCGCGATTGCGGCGGTAACCCCGGCGGTGGCACAGGCGGCGGCGGCGAGGTGGCTACCGACCTTACTCGACCCCAAGTTGGGCAAGCTCGCCATTGTGTGCCACCCCACCAAGGTCAAAGATATCCAGGCCGCCTTTGATAAGTGAGATAACCTGTATTCTGTAGTTTAGTTTCTAGTTCTGCTTACTGAATATGACAAGAAGGCAAATGGTTACAATCGTCTAAGACATGAACTGTAACTCCATAATAGACTGATAAGACTACATATATATATACACATTGTAAATATACAACAGATTACTATTTGTTGTATATTCACAATTTTGTATATAGGTAGATGTCAATTTGTCTTTTCCTGTCTATTCTCGCATTACAAGAAAACTACTAAGTGATTTTTTTATGAAATTTACTCGAGTTTAACAAAGTAACACAAGAACAAATATTGTTTTTCCTTTGTTCATTTTAAGAACAAAATTTACAATATTGAAATGGCTAGTGCACTATCGATTGCCACGTGAATGTTTGTTTATCTATAATTATTAATAGAAACTAATACAGCATATATCTGCTATATTCAATCACAAAATTAAATTTCATTTTATATTCACCACTACTGAGATTATTTGTACGACTGTATAATGGGGGCGTAGCATTCGTATAATATTGGGATATTCATATGCATTGGTTGTTTGTGCTAGAACTTTTCACTGTATTGAAAATTATTACGAGATTTTTCCCCAGTGCCTATAATCTATAAAAAAATGTGTAGAACATTCGAGCGGTGAAAACTGTCAGTACTGTCTAATATTGTTGTTTTTTGCAGGTTCAACATCAAGTTGGATGCATATGAGTCAGTGGAGTTATCCCATTTCAATAAATAATAGTTTTCTCACTACTGTATCACTCTTAGATTATAAAGTATATATATTGGTAATGTAAAAGTATTAGCGAGATAGATAAATAGGAAACTCACCTATACAATATAAGCTCCAAGCTGATTTGGTGGGAGTATGAACAAAAAACAAATCTTATTTTTTTATTTTTGTTTTGAAGTGAAATTCATTTTAAGTGAATGTAGTTAATTGGAATTAAATGTAGATATAACATAAATTAGAAAAAAAAATATCTCTTTACATGCAATTATATATATATATATATATATATATATATATATATATATATATATATATAATTGCATGTAAAGAGATATTTTTTATATATATATATATATATATATATATATATATATATATATATATATATATATATATATATATATATATATATATATAGTTTTTACGAGAATTGTTGAAAAATATCAGATTTATCCATAGACTTAGTATAACGTACTATGAATTTATCCTAAATAAAGTTCTGGATGTCCACGAATTGAAATCAAACGTTTAATAAACACGCACGCTAGTGTGATTACATTGCCAGTCTTTCAATAATTGTAGTACATTATACTAAGTCTAAGATATGAATATGCAAATGTTTATAATTATTTTATTTTTGTATTATCGAATATTGTTAGTAAAAAAAAAAACAATAAATACTTGGCTGTGCTTTACTTTTTTTTATCATTACTATCCTTAACTGTCCACTGTTGAACATAAACCTTCGTCTTAATGGGAGTTTTGTCAGTAGTTGCCACCCTTGACAGGCAGGTTGGCAACTGCAGTTAGGATTTTAGAGATGTTTTAACAGGGATGCTGCTGCTCATCACTCTGCCATTGAGTTCCTTGTCGCCCCTTATGGCACCCACAGGAAAAGAAGGGGTGGCCTATTCTATGCCGGGACCCCACGCCCATTATATTGCATCGGTGGTTGAGGGGTAAAATACTCGTCTGTCTTACTTATATGTATATAATAAAATGTCTATATACATATAAACGGCAAAACACAGTGAGTTCGTTAATTTAAAAATTAAAATATGATAAAAATTACTTTTATTAAACAAAATTATGGTCATTTTTTATCCGATATTTTAATATTCCTGATGGCTAATGTAATGATACATTAAAAACGTTAACAGTATCAGACCAATATCTCTGGATAAGAATAACATGTTGTTTTAATGGGTGATAATAGAATAGTAACGCCGCCCGCACTTGTGGTATACGCTAACAGAATAAAAGTGAGTGATGTCAAGTAAGAATAAAAATGTAGGCCAGTTTTTTTTTTTTGATGGGTGAAAATGGTATGGTAACCCGGCCTGCGCTAACGGGATACGCTGGCGGAGCACCAGTGAAGGGTGATAGATGAGAATGAAAACAGGCCAGTTAGCCCATCATGATGAATTCATCAGGAATTAACCATGATAGTTTCCAGGGGGAACCGCGAGGAGGTCGACCTGGTTGGGTATATTGATAGCAATGGGATTCGCAGTCTCTATTACTAACAATCCCTTTCCCCCTAATGTAGGCCAGTTAATAGACTACAAGTCCATGGAAAAAAAAACCTATGAAATGAACCAACGTGAAAAACACTTAGAAGGCTGCTACTATATCAGAAAACTCTGAGCACTATATGCCGTCATTTCTGAGCGGTACAGGTGACTACGTGAATAAATGGAATTTCCCAGGTACGAGTGATGACGGCTTTTTTTTATAGTTTATAGATGATTAAAAATAAATATCGAGAAACCTAGTGCCGTCCTAAAGTTGTGGTGCCGGAAGTCAGTGCAAATTTTTAATACGTCGATAATTGAAGTAGCAGTATAGGTCATTTATTACTGTACGGCATTTGTGTAATTTCTTTTGTTTACATATACAGATACTTTACCCATGAACACCTTACACATTTCCAGCGCAGGTGTCGAAAGCCAAGGGTCGCCCTTATCTCTGATTAGCGTATAGGTGATGATGATATAGAAAAACATAAAATTAAATGATCTTATGATAACCAATCGTGATGACTTCATCAGGAATTAAGTTTCTAAAAATTGTTTTCAGGAGGGATCGGAGGGAACAGACAGACTTGTATTGCTAGTAATGGGGCAAGTAGTTCCCGTTGTTCACAGACCCTTTTCCCCCTTATTATCTATACCTGTAACATAGATGCCATATAATATTATCTGTTTATTTTTATACTTGAGGTTTTTAAGACTTAACAAGGAAGGAAACAGTCTTGATATTATCATGAAAAGCTTGAAAAAAGGTTTCTGTATTTATAATTGTAGATAATAACTGTCTTAACATTTTTTATAGAATGTAATGTACACAATGATACAAAGTTTTGTGATGATAATCATTTTAATTACCATTCATCTTAAAGCTATGTCTATACAAAAAATATAACTTAAATTTAGTCAGATAATTAGTGAACATCATAATATATCATCTCACAACCGCTGCAACACCATCATCATAAATTCAAAACCCATCCATATAATAATATCATTGTTCAACATTTTCCTTCAATACAACAGAAACAGTGGTTACCAATATCAACAAAATAGAATGTAGTGATAACTTCACTATTTATTCATAAATACTTAGATGTAAATCTTTTAATTTATTATACTAACCATATTACCTCGATAAGAGAAGTTCTATTATATTGAGCTCCCTATTTATATCCACTTTTATAAAGAAAATTGCAAAATAGAATTATATGTTATACAAAACATATTTTACCATATAATATTTTGGATTATGTTTTATTCTTCAAGACTACCTATAATTTTGTAATTCAATTATTAAGATCTATATTTTTATTAATACTGGTTATTTTTAATAAATATCTGCAGAAATGCGTGTTGAGTCAAAAAATAAAAATTATACTGGCCTAATTACAATAATAATGACCATGATATTGTTACTCGACACTGTGTAGGCCATCATTAACAATTGTCCCACCACTCCGTTGGTGAGGTGTGTATATATTAATTAATGAATATACGTAAATATTAGATTTATATTGTACATAAGGGTATATTTACAGCTTTTATATAACTTATACTATAGAGAAAATAATATTATTTTCCATTCAAGATTATTTATGCATATTTGATATGCAACTGCATAATTTTAATGCATGTAAAGCACCAACAGTATGTCAATAAAAGGCTATAGCATAGACAACACATTTAACATCGGAGATCGGTGAATTACTTTGTTCGATTGCTTCCTGGGAGCTCCATGCAGCGATTACACTTTACAATTCGCGCATATTTCGATGCCTGATACAGTAATTAGTTAACATCCTCCCCCTTGCTTCACATTTCTAGCTTATACAACGTACGCACATTTTTAATTCACGATTTTACGTCGCTAAATCATGATGTAGCATTAAAGCTGTAAAATCACTGATCGCTGATGGTAAAAACATTGTATGTGCTGCGCTTTAAGTAAAATAATTAGAGACAGTGTAAACTATGGAAATGTTCTTTTAGAATTTAACTTTTTAAACAACAAATTTGTTTATAGTTCACTGGGATCGGACATTTTATTATATATAATAAACATGTGTTTTTTAAAGATTTGGTAAAAGTTAACATTACGCGTATATTCTAAGTAGTATAATAATTCACTATAGATAAAACTACATGACAAATAGAATTCTCTAATAAACGAACGACTAATTACATTAATATTAACACTAAGTAATAATAAAAGAGGCGGCCCCATTTACATTATCTAACTCTGAAGATCGTTCTTATAACGTAGTTCGCGACGCGCGCCCGCCGCGTTGCCTACTCCACTACTACACGTACAACAGCGTGAATATACTCGAAACATAGATAGCGCTCCTCCAGAGCACGTATTGTCTTCATAATCATTATTCACAGTCGAATCAGGGGCTTGTAACTAGTCGACGTTCAGTGATAACGGCACGGATTGCGACGGTCATGTCGAGCGCTACATAATATCACATTACGCGAGGCCATCTCTTCGATCTAATCCCGGAAAACTATTAATGTTTTGTTCTTGAAGATATTACGTCTATAAACTGGAGACATTTTGTCCTATTTAATTTCTATATAATAATATACACTGAGTTGAAAGATAAGTATTGATGAAGAAACAGTAATGAGACGTGTTGTCACATCACCTTCAAGGTCGACGGGTTCAACCTACTACGACGTCAATGAATTACATTAAAGGCCAGATGTTTCTTATTTGTAATTTGCACAATTTACCATCATGCAATAAAATTTAAAATCGTGACATGATAAATCATAGAGTAATCATTGAATCTAAAATATTCTCTGTTCAGCCGTTACTGCCAGTGTTTGTAAAACTTCGTTCTCCCGGTGGTGATATCAGACGTAGTGGTGGCGTTAAACCCCAGCCTACAGTATGGAGTTGGCGTCGATGGGCGGCGCGTGATTGCGCAAAGCGTCTCGTATGTATCCGCTGATGCTGCTGTCAGCTACCAGGTGGAAGAAGAAAAGATGCTCGAAGCTCTTGAGCGAGATGGAACGCAGCGCCGGCAACCGCAACAGCAGCGATGCGAAGCGGCCCTCCTCAGTCCCGCGCGACCGTCGGCAGTACTCGTCCAAGCACGAGAACATCTGAAACGAGATATAATATAGATAAGTTCCACATAATTACAGAGTTGTGGACAGAAATCCAAGGTAGCTACTATGAATTCTGTCCGAAGTTTTAGAGGTAAACAGAAAATTCTTAAGTCACAAATAGTTTAAAAATGGTACAATTTATTAAAATTCTTAGCGTTATATCACTCTCTGTCTACAGAATTAACTTGTTTCATTGTACGCGAGAAGTTTGGGTCGTAAAATTCGGAATTTCATTTCTTTGTTTACGCCCACCTGGGCCTAACTTGAATACCTATTCCAGTTAAATTAGAGAACGAACTTTTACAGAAAACTCTTTGAGCCAATGTCAAAAGCCAAAGGGACAATAATAATCAATACTGTCATAGTGAAGAAATAAATGAAAAATTATATGTATAATAAATCAAATACTGGCAGTTTGGACGGTCCGCCAATACCCTTAGGATTATGTTAGAGCTTGCCCAGACCCAATGCATCAGAGATGCACTGTTTTTGCAACTACTAGCAACCCACAAGGGGAAGCTTATGTTCACCAGTGGTCAGTTAAAGGTTGATATGAATCAAATAGATAGATTTTATTCCCATACTGGTATAATATTCTGTCACAATTATTAAATCCACAAAATCTTTATTATTAACGATGAAATACTTAGAGAAATAATCTAGATTTAAAATGAAGGTTCGTAAGGACTATTTAATAGGGTCACATACATTAAGATTGCAGGAGTGGTTGTGTAAAAAAAAATATTTAGTCAAATTCACGATTATCATTTGAACATCAACTATCATTTTCTCAAGTACCTAATCAATCTTACCTTCTCTCTTAAAACTTCTACTTCTTGTCGATTTTTCAATCCTTTCACATCTGGAAATTATAAAAAAAAAAAATAGTTCACATCTAAATAAATACTGGTGTTATCAAAATGACATAATAGACCAAATATGTAATAAATTCATTCTCATCTATCACCCTTCACTGATGCTCCGCAAGCGTATCCCGTTAGCGCAGGCGGGGTTACCATACCATTTTCACCCATAAAAAAAATGTAATAATGTCTTAAAAATTGTTAAATAAACTTTGACATAAGTTATAATGTATATAATAAGCAGCAAGCTTCTAGATGCAATTATTCATTGAGAAAATAATTTAGAACCAAATAATTTGGTAGTTATATTTTGTGTAATAATGCCTATAAATTTAAATGTTGTATTTATACATTTATTTGCTTTGTTCATATGACAGCGATATAAATTTTGCATGCCGGATTTTGATAATTATGGAAGTAGTTGGACAAGGCTTCTGCCCAATAGTGGGGCAGGACATACTATGACAAACTAGCTGTACCGACCTGGGTTGAGCAGGATGATGGCTTTGAGCGCGACGTACTCTGAGTGGTCCATGCGTAGTGAGCGCATTTTGAGCGACAACTCGGACAGAACGCGGTCGAAGATCTGCCCCACACCAGCCTGCAACGCCGAATTGCGGTGCAGCGTCATACCTGGAACGCAATAGAAATTTCATTTTAAAATTTTATTCAACTATATAATTATTAGAATAATTACGCCATAAAATACGCAGACGATATACAACGGCCGTTTTTTTCTAAATGTAATTCGTCATATACCTATTTTAGTATCGTATAAACTGTTTATCTGTACGTCTATTTCTTTACAATACTAGTTTTCCCTCGCGACTGCGACCGCGCAACAAGGGTTTGTTTATTAACCGGGATCAAGAAAAGAAGCCTATATCGTTTTTAATATCAAGTAATATGTGTATACTCAATTTCAAAGACAATTGGTTAAGCTACTTTCACGAAATATTTAGTAAGTCTTTATTGATAGCATATTAATAAGTCCAGACAGAAAACTTGCGGTGTGAGATAAACAAATTCAAATCAACTTTGTATAGATTCTTTAGTTAAATATATTCAGCTTAATAACAGCATGGCATGTATCATTGCACATATGTATAGATTATAAGTGTACAAATCTTTCAAATCCAAAGTATTACTGTAGTCTATTTATTGTATAACTAGTATTGTAGTTTTTATAAATGTTCATCCTAATAGTTATATATATTATGAATAAGCGTGTCGTGGCGACCTTTAATTGAGGCAGCATTTTATAATGTAACCTTATTATAATGTGTTTTAAGTAGATATAAATGTATGCTTTGTTGGTTGTCCTTAAATAAATAAATAATCAAATAAAGTGAATGTAAGCTCCAATTATTATACACAGTACACATTTGAGACACATTCAAGGCTTAGAGAAAAATATGGTTATATTCATTTTGTGACAACCCTAATCATCGCCTACATGTCACGTCAGGGACATGGCGTGATACCAAAATAAAAGGCGTTAAATTACTGTGTCATTTTATATGAATATGCACACAAAATGCTTATTTATATACAGTATAATTTAGAAGATTATTGTGGACGCGACGTATGGAGTTACCATAGATGTTACAGTAAAAAAACAAGTGCCAACGAGCAATAATAATGTACGTGGTACATGGGTACGCGAAACACAAAGGGAATTATTGTCAACAACGAAAAATTATTGATCCTAATCTTACATGTGCACAGATTTTCTATCAGGTCATTAATTTTATTCAACTTTGAGTGGCAAACAAACTGATGGCTCACTTGATGGTAATTGGCAGGCGTCGCCTATAAACATGCACTACACAATATATGGCCCATGCAGATAGATTTCATAATCACTCACCATCAGGCGATTATGGAGTCAATGTGTCGTGCCATTATAAAAAAAAAAATACATCACAGAATACAGAATGATGCCTATAGTACTTTATAGCCATTGATATTCCTGACAACTATGTCCCATCCTTCAAATCGAAATAAACACAACCGCTTGGCAGATGAAACATAGAAACACGATGGAAATAGAGGTACTCATGTAGACAATGATTCTAAGGCGTCATTTCTCTAAACCTATGTATGAAATTATATTTCAATTTGATATCACATCGTCATCATCATTTCGGACATTATCAGTCTACTGTTGAACATAGGCCTCCCCCATAAACTACCATAAAGAACGGTCTTGAGCCACCTGCAATGCACTCGAGGTCGTAACTCCATCTAGATGGAGAGAAGGGGGGGGGGGGAGTCATACTACAATGCGTTTGCTCGTACGGGGTCGCCACTCGAGAACTTTTCTTCCCCATCGTTTGTCGATTGTTCGAGCTATATGAGCAGCCCATTAGGACTGATATCACAGCGAAGTCTTTAAGAATCAATATAAATTACATTTCTAATACATTTTTGAGTCAAAATTATAAATTATGTTGATGGTCCATAAAACAGTAATTTTGCAAAACTATCAAATGAAAATGTCAGTCTAAGAGATGAGTTTAGAGAAATGGCGCCATGGAATCGACCCCAATGGCTCTCTGGTATATTATTTCGTTATCACGAAAGTAGTATAGTAGTACAGAACATACCTGGCATGAGGCACATCAGCTGAGGCGGCGATGTATTTCTCGAACCGTCCATGTTGTCTCGTTCGTCGTTTAAATACTGAAACAGGCATAGTACAACATTTTTATTTTTATTTATTTGTTAAACAAAAAATTTCTTATTACATTTAGTATATACATATACATAACATACAAATCAACAAAGTTTCCACAAGTATATAGAAAAATTTTTTTATACGACATAGAATGGCAAACAAGCTGACGGTCCACCTGATGGAAAGTGGTAACCGTCGCCTATAGACATGAACAGTATCATGGACATAACAGAGTATACTGATTCGATATTTAACATAAAATAAACAGAAATACCAAATTACTCATTCAACAATAAAAAGTAAGACAATATGGCAGAGATAAGGGAATCAAGTAACTGCAAATACATAATTAGGTGTACATAACTTCTCTAAGACATTTCCTGTAGGTAAGAATCTTACAGTTTAATAGATTTATACTAGTAAATTTAATATTATAATTATTGCAAGATCTGAATAAAAAATATATTTGAGTAAATTATATAAATAACATCAATTGAACGAATACCTTTTGTGTGGTCTACTAATTATTTAGTACACATAAAACTGTGTTTAGTTTGGGAATAGATGGATGGCGGTACGTAATACGTCCAAAACGACAATGTTTTATAATTTTTATCTTACTACATAAATCAATTATTAATGATTTAGTTATATTTGCAGAACACGTAGGCATTGTCCTTGCATGAACACGTACCTATAATAAATATTGTATCATTGTTGTAATGGCTCCATCGATCATAAAAAAAAGACAATACAAGTACCTATCCTAAAAAATTGCAACAGGCTACGGAATATTTTATAAGTCGGTCCTTACGACAGTTAAAATAATTATTGGTATCACTACAGACATTACATTAATATAAATAAACCTAGTTTTCATCTCAAGACGATAAGGATCACCAAAGAAAATAATACTATATCAGTGCAAGAAAAGATAAAGTCGAAATAAAATTTCATAACAATCTCTCTCTTGGCCAGCATGATATTTTTAGGCTATATCCTCTTTATATAGAGAAAGTCATAGTCAACAGTATGCTTAAATAATTCTTTCAATAATCCCTATATACCATCACTTTAGCTTTAATAATAACTAGGTTTTGTCCCCGAGTTTATACGTGTAGTCGTTGGAAATAGGAAAACCAATGAAATAATAATAATAAATAATAACGAGGTGTGGTTACTTTAACTAGCCTCTATAAAAAAATAATAAACTATTTTTAGATGTAGTATCAAACTAAAATCCAGACTTCAAGCTTGGGAAAAGCGCATCAAATTTGGTGCAAGTTTTTGCGTGATACCAGAACAAACATACAGACTGACAAAAATTCTAAAAAATATTACTATTAAGACCTTACGTATTAATTTTTCGTAAATATCCATTTACCTACAGATATTGTTCAGTTACAAAAACGACTTACTTCCATAGACCGCCAGGCGATCGCAAACAATAGCAGCTCGTTCCAGGAGGCCTTGATCAGTACCACCTGATCTTCCAGCTCCAACTGACTAAAATGGGGAATGTCGCGCGCCCACACCACCAGTGCCGCGATTTGTTTATTGCCTGCAATTTAATAAATACGTAATTACGATCATACATAAATTAAATATTTACTAATAACAAATGTGAAAGTGGGTTGATTTGTTTGTGGCCTCTTAGCGTTTTACCGACTATAACAATTAGCATATAATTAGATATAACTATGTTTATATAATAATATATGTGGTATATAAAAAAGATAAACGCAAATTTTTATCTCGATCAATCAACGAAGTCACGTAAAAAAACTAGTGTAATAATATTGTACCTATATATTCTATTATATTAGTAATTTCCTTTAAAAAATATGCTATTATTGTGAGCAGTAGCGTAACTAGTATCATCTGATGTTAATGGTAAATTTATCGGATGGAGCCATCTTAAAAAGATTGATATTATAATTTCATTAATGACCAGAGGGTTCCTCAAGCCGAAGACCTTCGCATTTCGCCCGCTCTGCCACCCTACTTTTGTTACGTCACTGATTGTGAGACAGAGTATCTTATATATTCACGCGGGCAAAGACGCGGGAAACAGTTTATGTGCAATAAATCACAAGATAAGACATTTTACCACGTTATATCTATTTAAAGTAAACAAGCAGCATATTTATCAGTAAACATTTATATTAATAAATTTAAAATAAATAATCGTCTATACAGACATACATATATACATATATGTGTCGATATACATAAGATTAACTAGTGAACGGTGATCTCAACCAAACAAAACATCAACAGTAGGCAATATTCATCATATACCCAATATACCTACCACACATTCCTTACTGGGGAATAATCGGCAAATGGCAATCCAGTGAGCATTCCGCATACTAAACATGTTTTAAAAACTGTTTTTGTTTGGTCTCGGCTGCCAAAGTAGTAAATAACACTATTATCTTAGGCTATTAAACGAACAATGTTTGTATACGTGTTCTGTTTTGAGGTCTCGAAACGACTCCCAGCGATTTCTGGAATGTTGCATACGAATAAACGTAGTGGAAGGTTTAGAGGCATTTTTCCCAAATAGATTCTTTTCTGTTCTAAATTATACAAAAAACTAGAAGAAGTATGAAAAATTTTGATCTTTAAAAAAGAACTAGCTAAATACGTGCATAAGGAAAAAACACGAGCAGAGCTTATGATTAAAAGATTAGACATCAAAATTGATGAAGATATCTACTGTATAAAAGAGATATAAAAATATTGTGAAATTGATAACCACTTTATTTTGAGTCAGTTACAAATAAAATAACCAACTGACTGAATTAGAGGTACAATCCAAAAACATAATTACTTACTGCAGTAAATTGTATCAAAAATATGTATATGTATACTTCAGAACTTTCAGATATTATTACGATAGCCGCCAAATGGCCAACATCTAGAGTCTCAGCTCTGAATACCCAAATCCAAATAGAAGAAAATAGTGAGTGAAGACGTAAAACGTGTAAGAAAGTTGACCACTTTCTCCTATTTATTTACTTAAATACTATACTTTACTTAAATGTGTACTGCATTATAAATCAGTATTATTAAAATGTTTAATAATATATCTATCAATAAATATACAGAAATAGGTTTTTAAAAAATATAATTATATACTTTATGTTATTTAAAGCTTACAAATTTTCAAGCCAAACAGCGTTCGAAATTTACAACATACAATTCTAGTATAGCTCTATTCATTAAGTACATAATATTATCGTGGAATTTAATTAAAAGCTTTCAAGTCTGGAAACAAACAATATTAACAAACAGAAAGCAATCGACTCCCAGACAATAGCAATAATTATAAACTGCTACTGTAAATTTGATCTTAGCTTTGTTTTTTATAATATAAACTTTTATTGAATCGTATCTAATGGTTTGCTTATTTCGACACTATCTATAAAACTTATTCCGTAAATACCAAAATTACGAATACAGGTATGGGGGTACATCACTGACAACATATTAAATGTATTAAAGAGGAATAACATTTTATAAAACACAATGAATGGATTATGTATGGTTCATATACTGTAAATGCACAAATGAAGTACGCTAATGATATAAGAGTACACAGCCGCGATATGCAGTTTTATTAGATGAACTGATTTTTTTATTAATGTTATACTCGTAATGTGAATTAGACAAAAATGCTGATCGAATAATATGTACAACTGTAAACCGTACTCATTACATGTAAAATAAACGTCTCACGTTCGTTTCTTGTACCACATATAACTGTGGAATAGTTTCTATATTTAAAATTATATATCGAAAGGAGCAATTAAGCATACGACCCGTCTCATGATATTTAGCTACCGCAACCCATAAACTGTTTAAGCACTAAAGTCGTTACTCACAACCAACTGGGGTTGATCACCTACGACGCCAGGTCAGGAGGGCACCCTACTTGAAATTATAATATCTATTTGTTTATTAAAAATAACGCTACAGAAAATCTAGCTAGGGGCGCCGGCTAACTAGAGGTGTACACGTGGGAGTCCTTTTTCATTTTCTTATTACTTTACGTTATAATTAAGCCTAAGTCGCTGTACTATTAGTTATGAATTTATATAAATATTTGTGTGAAAATTGAACACCTCTTAATTATAGAAAAGTCGATGCCTTCTAGACGACGACGTCATAAGCTAACCAGTCTTTAATTATGTATACATAATTATGTAGGTAAATAAAATTTATATACATGTAACTGTGACCAAGATTTCTCTCTATGGAATTTTTATCCTTATAACACCGTAATAGAGTTGTAAGCAAGAAAATTTGGTACGAATGGACTTGAGATCGTATGTGTAATTGAATCAATGCGGCAATAACATATAAAGTAGCGAATCAATTCGGTTTGAGCTTCGTTACAAATTGGCCAAACAACTATGTCTTTGGTTGCGTGTAAATACAATTTATATAATATTATGACATAAATTCCGGTACTCAATAGATTTGATAATAGGTCCAATAACTGAAATTTTGTAACATTTAACTACCTCAATAGTGTATTGCGGATTTAATCTCGACAGTGCAGACTTTTTTATTATTATGAGTAGCTCTGTTTAGTTTAGTCTAAGCTGTTTCGCTGGGTTTTAACAGATCATTCACTGAATAAATGATTTTCAGACAGGATAAGTCTTTTGTTTACCATTGATATCTAATTAAATGTTTTTTCCTAAAAATATTTATAAAAATAATAATGATTACTACAATTTTTTTTTTGGATTAATCATTAAATTTGATAATACGTCAAGCATGAATCTCAAGTAGCAATTCAAATTAATACATTTATTAAGGACCTTTTGTATATTATCCGTCAATGTTTAAAAACATTGCAAACTCGATTTTTGAAAATCATAAATATTGCATCAAGTGTTTCCAATTTTGTAGTGATGACTTGTTATGTACCATTGTTCTTGGTTACCACGGCACAGCTAATTTTATGTAGGGGTCAATACAAAGACGCTGTTATTTGAGTAACATATTATAGCTCGCGTCGTCTCACCTCTAGTGTATTATGATTCTTTGTTCATTAAAATTATTAAGATTTCATAAGAGGGAATTTTTCATTTTTACCAGAGGGAAACTTTGTACAAAGTCGTTAGCTTGGGCACCTCTGTCCCATTCATGTTTCTGCCGTGAAGCAGTTGCGTTTGCATGACTGTGTTTCAGTTTGAAGGGTGGGATATGGCAGTGAATGTACAGGGTACAGAGGAATAACACTTGAGTCCTTAAGAATGGCAACGCATGGGGGGTTTTATGGGCGAAACAGTATACTCTGTTATGCCCATGGTACTACTTATGTCTATAGGCTACGGTTACCACTTTTCATCAGGGCGGCCGTCAGGTTGTTTACCATTCTAAATTGCATAAAAAAAAAAATATACAAAATAATTAAGCTTTTTTAAAAAAAACTAATGTTGATAATAATGAAAAAGCTATATGTCCATTTTTTTAATTAGTAAAACAATTTTAATTTTCTAGTATATTTTTTAAATAAGAGTTAATAGTCAGAAATAAAGCATATTTATATAAACATGCATTTTAATGCAATTCCCAAGTAGGGTAGACGATAAGCAGACCACCGGTCGTAAAACTAAAAGCCAAAACCTTGGATAATATTGATAAAAGCATTATGTCGACTCCAAAATTTCTATAATTAGAATAAAGGCAGAAAGATGATGATAATGCATTTTAATACAATTATTAATATCTTCAATAACAAATATTAAAAGTTCCAAGAAAATTAAATTATTTAAACTGATTAAATAGTTGATTAATCGGGATAAATCCTTATGCCCTTCTCCATCAACAATACGTGTATTCCAAACTTCATAATGAGAGCTTGAATATTCTTAAATAGCCAAGAATTAGTAAACAAATTAATTTTATATTATTTATATTACCAGGGATCGAATTTTAATACACCTTCTTTTATCGTAGGTATCGTAAGAGGCGATTAAGTGAATTAATGGTCGAGGGATGGGCAGCAGCGTCCCTCTTAAAACATTACTAAAGGCTAACTGAGGTTATCAAACCGCCTGCTAAGTGAAAACTACTAACAAAACCCACTTTATGGGGGAGACATATGTTGCAGTGAACAGTTAGGGACTGAAATGATGATGACGATGATAAACTTTAATAAATCAAGATACGTACAGTGAATACGACATACAGACGTTTTTTTTTAATGGGTGATTCAAAATTATTTGTAATTTTTCGACATATTTTGAAAATGTTCAGTTTCACTAGTAGAACAATCCCTTCAAAGGATGCTAACGGATAAAATATTTCGATTTCCCTCTGTAGAGAGATTAAAAATAACTACGAATTAATAAGTCAATTATGAATATTAATGACTACTTGTTAATCTACGAATTTAAGAGATAATAAATTACAAATCCAGCTTGTTCATACTGGTGGGTATATAACCATTAATTAAAACTAGTATATTTTTAACCGTAAGACGTAGTAGAACACACACGCCAACTACTATGGAGTAAGTATAAACATCGCGCTATCGAAATAGATAAACGTCAAAAATCTTCGCTCGCAATGACAACAAGCTACTATTATCAGTCTCATTGAATTACAAAATAGTTACTTGTTATCTTTTCATTCTTATATTATCTAATTATAAATTTGATTATAACATTGCACAGTCCCGGCAATATTTTCAATTCACCTCAATAAAAGGAGATTCTCTCAATTCGGTTATTTCTTATGTTTGCAAATCGGTTGTTATTACCTTAAAACTCCGTCAGTTCTAAACCGATTTGAAAAATTCTATATTTATCTGACAGAATATACATACAGATTGGTTCCATGAAAATTTTATCATAATCGGTATTTATTAGTAGTAGTTTAGATTTTAGATTAAAATAACTGGTTTTATAAAAAGTTTTTTATTTTTGTAAAACACAATCTTAAAATGTAGTGTTCTAATATTTTTTATGCAACCTGCTATTATATTACTTAAATAGGAAAATAAAATGTATTCAATAATTGTATAATTTTCGTACTTTTTAATTTTCCAATATAGCGGACATGGAGCTTATGACTTTTTGTATTATGATATGAATATTAACATAGAATATGTTTCTTCATATATTTTGCTGGTGTTTTTGTTGAATCGGGACGATAAATCATGCCGTGCCGTGCCGTTAATATTAGAAAGTAACGCTTAAGTTGTAAACATCGATACAATTTGGCATCCATGGTGAGTTATTTCAAATACAGTACACAAATATGAAATATTTCTATTTCTAAAACTTGTAAAAAAAATTTGTTTTTTGTGTATATTATTCACCCTTACCAACTGTGAATAGATTTTCATATTTTTTTTACTGTCTCTTTAAATGTGCGTTTTACTTCTATCATTAAACTACACTGTTATAACTTCTTGATAGTTACTACGAATATTATACACTTACCTATCTGACACAAGCTGGAGACAGGCGCTTTGAACTTGGCCGGCACGTTGCTGTCGGGGCTCACGCGGAGAAATTGGAACTCCTCGGTAGTGTCTGCCACCAGAGCTTCCATTTCTAATAGCCGTTCAATTGACAATTCCTGTATAATAAACATAAAGGTATATTAATAAAGATTCTTTAATTCAAGAAACAGGTGTATAGGAAAATTTACTAATGTCATAAATTGAAAGTAAATTTGTTTGTTTGTTACTTCTTGGCGCTTAAACGGCTCAATCAATCGTCACATGACATTCGCACTATTTGGTTATTTTTTATCCCGGTCACGCGGACAAAATCGTGGAATAGGACTTGTAGGTTATATTTATACTCTATTTAAATGAAACTAAAAAAATAATAAAAAATAATGTATAAGAAAAATATTTTGTTTTATTCTTAAACAACTTAGCTGTGTGGTCCCGGCATAGAAAAGGCAAGTTTTGTAAGAGGCGATTGAGGGTTGTCAATCCGCCTTCCAAGTGTAGCAACTACTTGCAAAACTTATGGGGAAAGCTTATATTTTGCAGTGGACAATGAAGATATTATATGATGTTTCTTAAACAAACTATTTACTTCGTCCGCATAATATTATGTTACTAACTAGTTGTATATCAAAGGTAACTAACTACCTGCATTGATTAAGATATAAAATATCCTAACAGCTAATCAATTAGAACATCGCCCATCTCTGTTGATTCCATATTTCGTACCAATCCGTGCGTGATTGTATACTAACATTTAAGCATAAACATTGAAACTTTTTATAGACAACATTTACAACAGACAACGTTTGATAATCTAGATCTAAACATTACAATCCTATGTTTAGAGTTCAAATTTATTCGGTGCCGTGACCTTAACCTATGAAGGCTATACTTGTACATTAATTTCCACATGTACCTATTTAGTATAGTAATCATGACCCCCGTTTTATATAGATCCGCAAGGTGTATACAGTTCAACCTATCGCCCTGACCATTTCTATAGAATGAATTCCATTCATTTCAAACTTGCGTATAGGATCAATCGATTGAATTAAAAGGAAATTCTATTGAAGTTGACTAAGCAGTTTTGATGTGATGCGCGCGCATAAATAGAGAGAAGTCAGGATTAAAGAAATTATCGGATAAGGAAATATAACACTTTAAATTTAGAATTCCCCAATGCTTTAATATTAATATATTTTAAAATATTTTTGAACACCTTAGTTCTAAGGAAAGGTACAGTATAAGTCACAACACTGACATCGATCACAGTGCATTAATTTGTGCATGTCTTTAGACGACAGCTACAATTTTTCATCATGTAATCCGTCACTTTGTTTATCATACTAAATTGTATAAAAACAATATGAACAATTAGTTGATAATCTAAATTACATCATCACCAGTATAAATACTTAAAATATTATATTGTAGTGCAGACTTTATAGTAATAGCCATCTGTTGAAATTGGTAAAGTGTAATTAAAATGAGGTCACATCTAGATTTGGAGGATTGCGTGGTCATGACATCATAAATTCGCTGTCTATTTCAGCGAGTCGTAGAAATAAAGTAAATTACCGTACTTGTTTAATGAACGGACCTTCTTGCTAAAACTACTTTCTTGGTAAGTCTATCATTATAATTTACATATTTAAGGTTATTTTCCAAACCTGGCTGGGGGACTAGGACCTTAAAGAAAGGGCATACATAATTTTAGACATGTCTTTGCCCATTGTTAACTCCTAATTCTGAAATAGACGTTAGGCCCTCTTTCTTATGAGAGAAGCCTATGCCTCTACCATAAGGAGGGTTTCCCTAGTAGCTGCCATGCTTGGCAGGCGGGTTGGCAACTGCAGTTAGGCTTTTGATGATGTTTTAAGTAGGACACTGCTGCCCATTTCTCGATCTTTAACTTCCCTTAGTCGTTACAACACCCACGGTAAAAAAGCGGTGGCCCATTCTATGTCGAAACTACGCATCAAATATGGAATATATATTGCCATAAATATCAAATAAATTGCCTGCGAATGTTTGTGACAAAATATAGAATAATCAACAAAAATGTAAAAACATATAAAGTCCCACTATTTACCAAATAAGCGACTGTGCGAGAAAATCTTTCCGGACAGTGGCGGATAAACCACAAATGAGTTTTTATTTTGCTGTTTTAGCTTGTAGCCTGTATTTCTATTGATATTTTAAATAAATAAAAAAAAATCTTGGTTACTGCCTTATATCGGAGTACTGAAACAATAAGCCACATAGCTATCTAACAATATAACATACAAAATGCTGCATTAGCAGACAGTATTAAAATTGTACAAGCTAAACCTATCAGCATACAATAACTATTCGTCAAATATAAATACCGCTGCGTCATTAACTTCGCAAAAAAGAAACACGATGCAAAATCGATAAGTTGGAAGACGCAGTAAACAATGAATTCTGTACCGAATCACAGCTCAAGCGTTTCTACTACACTCGTTTTAATTAAAAAATCCTTTATTAGCTATTAACACAATCTTTAATTAAGGAGTAAGAGAGGAGAATGGATTAATATTAATTATTTGCTTGTGGCAAAAGGCTTGAGATAAAATCATGAAAATTTCATTTTACAAAAAACAATACATTCATTAGCTCGGCGGTGTAGGGCCAAGTGTCTGTCACATCTTTTTCTCTATAACAAGTGTCAAGACACAATTGTAAAAAGATAAATCAAAACAAAGATAACAAGAACTGCATTTTAAAAAACACAATCGTCTGCTCATACAGTTATAGTAGAATATAGAAACTCACATACAACACAAACCTTAAATACAATACAGTCTATCTTTGAACATTCATCTAATTAATCATTACGCTAAAGAGTCCCCCTCTTTTCAGATTACAGGAGTTTTCACCTTACCTTCTACACTAGCGCCACCTATGACAGTTGAATTTAAATTCTTAATATTATGATATAAAAAAAAAGATTTCATAAAGAAGTATTTATCTTTTGTCTATAATATCTCTACAGTCACCTACCTGTACTGAGCTGCTCGGATGGGCATCTTCGGTGCCTCTCGCGGCTCGTTGCCGCTCCTCTTGGACGGCCTCCCTCTTCATGCCACACGAGAGACATTTCTGATACCGGCAATATTGGCACCTGTTCCTTTGCCGTTTGTCGATGATGCAATTTCGCTCCTCACGACACGCGTATGAGAGATCTTTCCTCACAGTCCGCTTGAAGAAACCCTTGCAGCCCTCACAACTGTAAATAGAGAATAAAATGATTATTTAAAAACATTTATAACGAAGTGTGGCAACGGCGAAATTATCTGTCAATTTTTAAAAAGAATAATTTTCAATGTTTTTGATTGATCACTTAAAAGTGTAACACAGCACTTTTTAAACTAAAACTTTAATCATGAAATCTAAGCTGTTACTGAAAATTTGGATTTTTATGACCAAATTATATTTGAAAAATTCTAAAGCAAATAAAGTTAAAAAAAGTTAAAGTTAGTTAAGTAGGTGTAAAGTTTTTAATGATAAATTTATATGCAACGTGTTGTACGATTAAATTTTAGATTTTAGGAAAAGCATTTCTAAGCAATATAACTTTAAGAAACATTCAAAATTATTCAATTGTTTTTAAAAATTGAAAAATAATTGCGACGTTACACGCTTCGGCAAGCAATAATGAATAAAACAAGGTGTATGCTCTTAAATTTTTTTCTTTCAAATACATCCGAGTAGCATTTAACTAATGCTCTGACTACTCTATAAAGAATTAACAGTTGTGAGCATATTAATTTCTAAATCAAGTCATATTGACTTGATTTAGAAATTTCGTTATTCTTTGTAATATAAACCGTAAAAAAATGATTGTACAAAATAACATACACTAACAATTTTAATATAATACCATAAAGTTCACTAATATGTCTATATTATCATGAACACTCAGGTTGTGGAATGAGCTCCCTGCCGAGGTTTTCCCAAAAAAAGGGAAAGGTTTCTTCAAAGGGGGGGTAAAGAGGTTTTTTCAGGGTCGGCAACGAGCGCGTAATACCTCTGGTATTGCAGGTGTTCATAGGCTATGGGTAACCAATTACCATCAGGTGGGCCGTATGCTTGTTTACCACCTCATGGTATAAAAAAAAGATCACTATATTTAGATAAAAATGAATTACAGAGACAAAATTTCTAAAAAATATTATTTTTGTGCTCCTATTGCCCTTATTAAGACCCCTCATATTAATTTTTCTTAATACGAGGACGTAGTTTACGGATAAAGGAGTCAAAAATATAGGTAACTAAAACAATTTTTATATAAATAACAGTAACTTCATTATTTAACAACTTGCAACACATTACTATTTTCAGACAGTTATGAAATTGTCTATTTCAAGCCAAGTAACTGAGATTGTGATGCGCGGTCAATGTCAATGATCACTTCGTAACTCGGTAACAATGGGACATTAAAGTCGTTACGACGAAGTAAATTGGCTGCATTTAACAGTGTTATCTGCTATATCATTTTACCACATAGGGATACAAACTTTTATGATTATTTTAAGTAAAATAAGTTTAATATAGTGTAATTTTGCCTCTGCTTTTTACAATTTACATTGGTTATTTATTTGCTCGAATAATTCTAGGATACTGGTATATTTCAAGTTGGTAACCCTTATCTAAAACTTTCTCTTTTATGAAGTAGGTTAATAAGGGACGTTTTGAAATTTATTTATTTTTATCAAAAATATGAATAAACTCTCGTGTATCTTATGAATTTTATGAGAATAGAAACTTTTGCTGTCTATTTAAAAGCCCCGTTCTTTTCAATAATGACTAATCAAATTAACTATTACTTCTCTCGTGTGGATTTCAGAAATAGGAAAACAAATGAAGTAGACTTAGTACTTCTAGATGACGTATCACGATAAAACATAGACCAAATTTTAAGCTAGATCTTCAGGAAAACTAGTGTAAAAACCACATCCAAATTTGGTTGAGAAGTTTTGGTTTGACGCCTAAATAAACATATAAACAGATAAAATTACAAAAAAAAATTTTGGCAATCTATTGGCCTTATATTATTTTTTATAAATATCTCCCATGTACAAACATCAATTAATTACAATTTTATTATATCAGTAAAATTTGTATTGAAAAAATGTAACCATTAATCAAATTGGCACGTAATCATATATTTAGATTGATGTTGCCGTTAATATAAATAAGCACACTGAACACATACAGTATATTTTCAATTTACGCAGACATTGCTTACACAAAACCAGAATCGATTAAAGTGTGATCAATAAAAACATACCGATTGTCAACACATTTTATTGTGATCGACGTAAGATTCAAATTTGAATGAAGCTAATCAAATAAATTGAAAGAAGAGAAATCAAAGGGTGTAATCAAAAAAAGATTTGTGAAAATTATTCAGATTCTCATATAAAATGAATAGTAAAATGTTTTATTTTTTACAGTTGCAGTAAAGCAACAGATATTGGCAATTAAGATGGTTTAAATAATTATTTTGCTGTAAGTTTGTTTACGATCTTAATTAACACAGTATAATTAAATTTAATTAAAACAGGTCTCACGTAGGAATAAAAATTAACAAATAGACAAAAATATGGAAATTAATTTTAAGTTATTAACCGGAGCAGACGATGGATCATCTTCGGCGTACATTTTGTCTATTGTATTGCATGCTACAAAGCACACGTCCTTGCAAGTACTTGAAACCGTGTCCTTTGCGGACAAAAGCCCCTTGTCTGCGCAGGCGTTAAGTATGTACGCAGTAAGCACAATCTGACATTGTAAAAATATTAAAAGATCAAATTGCTACTTACTTCAATATCATAAAATAAAAAAATCTGTAAATTTATTTATTTTATCTAAATACACTGCTCTCTTAAAATAATAATAATATTCTACAAAAAAAAAAAGTTTATTTGTAGCAAAATCTACTGACATGATTTTGATAAAATTTTATTTATATTCAATTTGCAACTGATGGAGTTATAAGATAAAAAAAAACATACAACTGAATTGAGAGTCTCCTTCTTTTTTAAGTAGGTTAAAAGAACACAACCGCTGAAGTGAAAAACATTGTAATTTAATTTAATTACTAAAGAGTAGAATAATACTTTATAATTTCAGCCGTTAACTGTCCACTGCTGAACATAAGCCATCCCCATAACGGAAATTTTACCTGTAGTTGCCACGTAGGCTTGGCAGATGGGTGGGCAAGTGCAGTGACACTTATCGAGATGTTTTAAGAGGGACGCTGCTGCCAATCCCTCTACCGTTAAGTTCCTTTAGTCGTCTCTTACAACATCCACAGGAAAGAAAGGGATGGCCTATTCTATGTCAAGACCTTTACCAGATTTACGTTTATATTATGAGATGCTATTTTCTTACTACACAGTTACCTATCTGCAACAGGATGGATTGTCGTAGTTAAAGTCGAGGTGGTGGTGGTCGATGAGATCAAAATGGCATTCTGCAGTACATTAGATACGATACAATACTGATTTACAATTTTATAGGGGATTAGGTCATTAGAGAGTTGTACAACGTAAAAGAAACAGTGTGATATAAATAGAGATTCACGCGCACTATGTACATATAGGTACGTACTACCTACCCGGTATCCAACACGTGCCAAAGAACGAGTTTACACCTCGTCACATCGTCTATGTAAAACTTGATATTATTAAAACTATTTGATATCGCGATTTGCGAGAGAATTGTTAGAAACAAATATTTAATATGAATATTTATTAACACTGATGACCTCAATGGCGCTGTGTTGGACACGTTGCTTCGTGGAAATGAAAAACGACCAGAGGAAAATTTACCAGAGGGAAACTTTGTACAAAAGTCATTTGCTTGGAATGACAACGTATAGGGAGTATCATGGGCGAAACACTATACTCTGTTATGTCCATGGTACTGCTCATGTCCATAAATGACGGTTAACACTTTCTCTCAGGTGGGCCGTCAGCTTGTTTGACGAAAAAAAAACGAATTTTTCTGAATTGACTCTTGGGGAGAGAAGGGACTATTAGTAATGCGAACTACTAGTCCCATTGCTAGCAATATACCCAATATCAAGCCGACCTCCACGTGGGCCCCACTAGAAACCATCACGTTTAATTCTAAATGTATTCATACAATGGGCTAACTGCTCTGCTTGGGGGGAAAGAGATTGTTAGTAATGAAGATTTAGAATCCCATTGCTAGCAATATACCTAACAAAGTCGACTTCCTCGCAGTTCTCCTTGGAAACTATCATGGTTAATTCCTGATAAATTCATCATGATGGGCTAACTGGCCTGTTTTCATTCTCATCTATCACCCTTCACTGGTACTCCGCCAGCGTATACCGTTAGCGCGGGCGGGGTTACCATACCATTTTCACCTATCAAAAAAAAACTGATCTGCTTTTTCATCTTCGCCTATCATCACTAGGGCCCCGCCAGTGTATATACCGTTAGCGAACGCGGGGTTACCATTCTATTATCATTCATAAAAGAAAAAGAATTGTCTCAAATCTAGGTGTTCTTAGTTGTACCCTCAGATGTTCGTTACCTGGTCCCTCATAATTAGATTGAGAACTAGGACATCGACGTGATTGTGTGAAACTTATTTATAATTATAATGTTATTATATATTTTTACTGATGTAAGGTTTGCTGTTCGCAGAACAAGGGTAATAGTTCGAGTACAACTCGTAGGTACCTCTAGAAGGAAATTGTTGCAAGAGCCTTAGATTATATAGATCAAGTGTCTCCATACAAATGCTTCGAGATAAGCGTATCAACTTTTTCATACAATTTTGCGTGATAAATAGTTATGAATGTTTCTTTTATAACTTCTATATTTATTTTGTCTTATAAATTCTGCATTTATTAAATGCGTAAATACTTTATTTATTAAATAATACGTCAAGATACATTTTATTCATAATGATATATGAATAAGCTAATTTGACAATTAGCTGATAAAAATTTACCGGTTTTTGAGATTCTATGTTCTATCATATAGATAATTTAAAGCAAGAGCCGAACTAAAACTAAAAAAATCCAGAATCACTAAGTATAATATTAATAATAAATCTCCTCTCACTTGTATTACATTTGTTATTCACCTACAGGATACCTATTCTTATTCCGTTTTCATAAACATATGCGAACTGCATTGTATGAGAATAGAAAATTGTTAGCACGTGAATAGATATGTGTTATGC